TTGGTGAAAAAGTAGGCATGCACCCAAAAACTTAGAACATTGAGGAAACTTTTTAAATAATTACACTTTCTAAAATACATGATTTTATTTATATATATATATATATATAGAGTCATCCCTCAGTATCCTCAAGTGGTTGGTGCCGGGACACCCTCAGATACCAAAATCCAAATACTGTGCCATAGTATTTGCATATAACCTATGCATATCCTCTCATGTACTTTATTTATTTATTTATTTATTTATTTATTTATTTATTTATTTATTGAGACATGGTCTTGCTCTGTCATGCAGTCTTGAGTGCGTGTGCTGGTACAATCATGGCTCACTGCAGCCTTGACCTCCTGGGCTCAATCAATCCTCCCACTTCAGCCTCCCAAGTAGCTGGGACCACAGGCACGCACCACCATGCACAGCTAACTTTTGAACTTTTTTGTACAGATAGAGTTTCATTGTGTTGCCCAGGCTAGTCTTAAACTCCTGGGCTCAAGCGATCTTCCCACCTTGGCCTCTCAAAGTGTTGGGATTACAGGCGTGAGCCACTGCACCCACCCATCCTCTTGTATACGTTAAATCATCTCTAGCTTACTTATAATAACTGATATAATATAAATGCTATGTAAATCGCTGTTATATTGATTTTTATTTGTATTATTTTTTGTTGTGTTGTTTTTTAAATTTTTTCTGAATATTTGTGTATGTATTGAGATGTTACTTTGTGATCTAATGTAATTCAAGTAAAACTCATTAAGCATATATTGTCTGTTTTAGTAGCATAATTCTTGGTTTTATATGCTAAAATATTTATCTTTTTAATAATAAATGATAATAATATTTTATACCCTTTTAGTTCATAGACTATGGGAAGTGGAGTAGGTAGTGAAAGTGGTGACTGTGGTGGTAGTATGGTGAAAGTAATTTGTTTAACATCACTGCCTGTCCAAAATAGTTTTGATGAATGATTTTAGGTGTTGCCTAGTAAGTGCTCTGACTTTTGAAACCAGTTGAACAAACAAGCATGTTGTGCTTTACTAGAAACATCTTGTAAGTTCTGATTCTGAATAGACAATGGAATCTAAATTGAGTTAGTGGAGGACATATCTTTACAACTAAGTCTAAAGTGTTTCAACTATTTCTTTTTTTAATCCTGTTTATTTTTCTTGTAAAATTAATATTTTTGATTGACCAATCATAATTGCATACATTCATGGGGTACACTGTGATGTTTTGATATATGTATACAATGTGATGTGCTTATGCTAATTAACATATCTGTCACCTCACCTGTAATATTTTATAGTGAGACATTTGAAATTTACTTTATTATTTTGAAATAATACATTATTATTGACTCTTGTCAACTTGCTACGCAATAGATCTCAAACTTATTCTTCCTCTCTACCTGAAACTTTGTACTCCCTGATCAGCTTCCCCCACCGCCCTCCTACCCTAGCCTCTGGTAACCATTGTTCTATTCTCTACAGAATTCTATGAATTTAACCTTATTAGATTCCACACATAAGTGAGATCATATGGTATTTGTCTTTCTCTGCCTGACTTATTTCACTTAGCATAATATCCTCCAGATTCATCCATGTTGTTGCAAATGACAGAATTTTCCCCTTTTTAAATGCTGAATAGTATTCTATTGTGTTTATGTACCCCGTTTTCTTGATTTCATCTATTGATACACACTTAGGTGTTTCCATATCCTGGCTATTGTAAATAATGCAACAATGAACATAGGAGTGCAGATATCACTTTGACATATTGACTCCAGTTCCTTTGGATATATAACCAGAATTGGGATCACTGGATCATACAGTAGTTCTATTTTTAGTTTTTTTGGGGAAACCTCCATACTATTTTCCATAATGGCTGAACTAATTTGCATTCCCACCAACAATGTACTGTGTAAGAGTTATCTTTTCTCCACACCCTGTCCAACATTTACCTTTCATCTTTTTAATAAAAGCTCCTGTAACAGGTGTAAAGTTATATTGCATTGTGGTTTTAATTTGTAATTCTCTAGTAATTAGTGATGCTGAGCATTTTTTCTTGCACCAGTTGGCTACTCATGTGTCTTCTGAGAAATGTCTGTTCAGGTTCTTTGCTCATTTTTAAAAATTGGGCGATTTGTTATTTTGTTATTGAGTTGTTTGAGTTACTTAAATATATTAGATATTAACCCCTTGTTAAATGTATGATTTGCAGATATTTCTTTTTATATATCCTGTTCACAAATTTTCTGAACTTCTCTTGCTGCTCATTTATATAAAGTTGGGATGAGTTATGTCACCTGAAGCAGTCAAGATAAGACTGTTTCTACTGCTATCCATGTGGCAGGCTTACTTTTTTACCCAATCCAGTGAAAAAGGGTGCCAGGATGTGAAAGAAAAATAGATGTGATGCCATGGAACATTCTAGGGAATTATCTTTTTTAGAGAGAATTTTGATTAAAATTTTGCATATTTTTAAAACTCATATTCTTAGTCTGAAGAGTTGGATATAACGCTGAGTGTGTGTCTTAAAGCTAATAGTATAAAAAGAGAAGTATAAAATTTAAATTAATCATACAACTTTCTTTCCCTAACTTTATGAATTGGTTTTTTGCAATTTCTGGAGCTAACGTGCTGAATGTTTGAAACTGAGTATGTAGGTTAAAAAGTTGAAATTTTCCTAATAAAATTATATCTCTTTCTAAGGTATAACTGTTTCTTTCTTTGATTGTAGTAAAAGGAGCATCTGTGGTTCTTCAGAGGTTTTAATTTTGCTGCCAGCTAGTTGTGTGACTTTGGGTAAATAATGTCACGTGACTGGACCTGTTTCTTTATTTGTAAAATTGTGTGTGGTGTTAAATTCCAAGACTGTTTTTAAAAATTTTTTTGTAGAGACTGGGTCTTGCTTTGTTGCCAAGGCTTGCTGAACTCCTGGTTTCAAGCAGTCTTCCCCACTTTGATCTCACAAACTGTTGGGATTATAGGCATAAGCCTCCATGCCTGACCAAATTGTAAGACTCTTATAATGGATGAGTAGAATATAGTTAAGATTATATAAAAACACAAGTCACTTCATGATCATCATCTGCTGGAATATGAAACCAGCTTTCTTGTGTAGATGTGTTATCAGCAATGTTATTCACACCAAGAGGATCATTCTGTGGTTTTTAATTCATGATTTTGTATTCTGATAGTGACTTTTCATTATGTCTCCTGATTTAAAATTAAATTACAGCCATTATGATTGGAATCACTGGGAAGAGTTAAAATGAACAATTTAGAATTGTTTCTGCAATACTGAAGGCCTGATTTTTGGGGGTGTGGGGTTGATGGAGGAGATAATCTCTATGTTCTGTAATTTCATTTGACCAAGGAATTTACCTTTGGTCTTTTTCCAGAGTGAGGACATGAATACTTCCATAGCTGTATTCCGTATTAATCACAGTTTGCTTTGTGGGTTTCATTAGGCTAAATAAGAAAAACGTAGTTATATATTTTCTGCTTTAAAAATGCTTCTTGTTACAAAGTCTTCTCAGATCAGTTCCACATGTGATAAACCTATTCAAACTGTTAAACTGCCCCAAGGTGCTTGCTTCTTTCTTGGAAATCTATCCATTTCTGTGTCTTTATGTACCACTCACTCTCCCCCATCATGTTTTAGGTTATAAACTCCTTTCCTTTATATCTCATAGCACCCAGGAAAGAACTTTGTTAGTCTCTGAATAGTTTATAAATGTTATTGCTATTGAGAATTTTGGATTTAAATTATTGGAGTGAATAGACTAATGCTGTTTCTAGTATATCTAACAGGGGGTCGGTGTTATTAACTCAAAGACACAACAGTTTAAGCTCTAGGCTTTGTTTCTGAAGTCCATTTTTCTTAATCATAAGCCAATTATTCACTTTATATTATATTATATAATGCCTTGGTATCAGGTTATTGATAGGTAAACATCAGGAATAGGTTGGATAGATACGTATGCATGTGTACACATGCACATGTATGTGAGAGAGAGAGAGAGAGAAGGATTACACATAGAATATATGAGAATTTGAGGTGTGTGTAATGTTTATAACTCAACTGAGTCTTACATAGCTGTCTAGTTATGTACACTTAATTTTGGATCTTTTATAGTTAAAATTCAGAAACAATTTTTAAGGAAGATAAGGACATGTTTTTCTTTCCTTCGTGTTTTCAGTTTAGCTTTATTTGATTGTATTTTTGCTAAAGACTTGAATTGTCAATAATAACTATTGAAATGAGCCAACTTATAGCTGAGCACAAATTATGTTAGGGCACTGAGATGTATCTTAACATTTGGGAATAATTTAATGTGTCTAATATTTAAGAACGATCAAAACAGACTGTACAACCCAATAATCATAAAGCCTATGGTCAAAAATCATATATAATTGACAGACCCTATGAAGAGCAGCCGTAAGAATCAAGAGAAAAAGAGTCTAAATTGGAACAGAAAAGGAGCTGAGTCATTTTTGTACTATAATTAGAAGTTGGTAACCATAAATTTTGTCAGAAAGTATCATGATCAGGCAGGGTTACACTAAAGTGTAACGTCTAACTTCTTGTAGTATGTAGTTTTACAATTAGTTGATGATTTAATAAATATAAATATAGATGATACTGTCAGAGTGTTTCCAGACATTACAGTTAGCTTTTAGGTGAAGGCAGTGCTTGACAGAACCTAGGTTTGTGACTCCATAATTTATTATGTCATCTAATACCATCTTTATCATGTATTAATTTGGGTTATAGGATAATTGGGGTAACTTTTTGGTGAGGGATTGAAATTTTCTTAAAAGCATTTTCAGAAGATACTAGAATTTTATGGGATTCTTTTAATATAGCATGTCTTCTCAAATATAATATTAGGACTGTTTGAACAGGAGGTAAATCATATTCACCTTATTTTCCAGTTTAGAATTATTGCTGTTATCAGTTGGTGGGTGTGGGAACAACTTAATAAAGTTTGGGTAATTTAGTTTTCAGTTTAAATTCTCAACTGGCAATTGGCCGAAAACTCCCATCAGAAGACATGATCATCCAAATGTCATTTTGTGATTTGGCTACTGTCTGCTTGATATAGGAAAGCACTATCAAGAAAGACTAATGGAGTGACTATCAAAAGGAAGTCAATGGTAAGAGTTTTCTTTTAAATTGTGTGTGTGTGTGTGTGTGTGTGTGTGTGTAAAGCCTACCAATTTATTATATTTGAATTAAAATTTTAGAACTTTTAAAATCTAGGACATAATGACAAGTGTTTGAATTTTATATGTCTGTCACTTATATTTTAATAAAATATATGCAAAGAATGGTTTTATAGATAAGAGATTTTACATACTTAATGTCTATAAATAGTATAAAAGTATGGAAAATCAATTATATAGTTCATGTCTGGTTTAAAAATTCAAATTTTGTAGTTTTATTGTAGTTATTTAAGATAGTGTATTACAAATGTTGCTTGACTAAAGTTTAACTTTTAAAAAATTTATACTAAACTGAGTTTTTCTGTTCAGTTTCATAAGTGCTTCTTAAAGTAGACATAAGTTTTGCAGTAGTATGTTGAATGCTGTTTTGTTTTTTACTTTCATTGTAAAATAGGAAAGAAAAAAGTATAATATATGACAAAATCCATTTAGTTTAACAGTAATTCTTTAAAAATGTATAATTGCTGCTATACTTTGGTGGAAACTATTGAATTTGTAAGATTAGACGTTTATACTGTATACCCAAAACAAAGTGGAGTAGCTGTTCATAATATGGTACAGAATCAAATTTTGGTGATAAAATCAGACATCTCTCTCCTGCCTTACACATACTCCCACTGAGAAAATAATTTCTAAATTTGGTTACATTTTCATATGCTTCAAATGACCTTAAATTTATATTTTTCTCCTGAATATATTTGATTCCTGAATATCCCTTTTTTTGGACGTCTGTGTCCAATCAGATCCATGATTAGTCACGTTAACTTTGGACAAGAATGGAGGTAGGATCTTAGCAAGTTTGAAATCTTTAAGATTGTTGTCTATCTGAGATTATTCCAGTGTGTCCATGGACATAGTAGTTTTGTGATAACAAGATGATGGCTGATGAAGATTAGCATATTAATAATAGATTATAATTCTGTTAACCATTCTATTGTCAAATGTGTGATTTTTGCGATTCACATAGTTGGAGTAATTTTTCATGCCCAATTAGAGATGTCAAAATTATGTTAATTGAATCTGGCCATGTTCTTAGCTGCTTTCTAGAGCTTAATAACAAACATATCAGGAAGAGCTCTTGTGACAAGCACCCAGCACAGCGTCTGTCATTATGTAATCATTCCAATGTTTACAGTGAACTAAGTACTTGAGATGGCAACATTCATATTTTAGTCCATCTGTCTAGTAATTCATATTTGTATAGTCTGTCTACTATGTGTCATCCATTTAGGTAGATGCTGAGAATAAAATGGTGGGGTTAAAAACAGATATTCCCTAATTGTTATTGAACTTCCGGTGCCAATGGTAATTACAGTGTAGGTATAATTACACACTGCAACTGGAACCAATACTGTGAAATGGCATAAGTTTCTACAAGGGTAGGAACAATAAAGTTAGTGTATAAATAAAGCATAGAACCTACCCCATTTATTTATTAGAGTGAATTGATAACTTGCTTTTCAACTTTTAAAGTTAATTCTATTAATATCTGCTAAGCTAGGCATCAGAAAGACTAAATTCTAACCATAGAGAAATACATTTTTATGCTGCTATTCTATTTTCTTAGATTTCTTAAGAATTTACAACAAAGCCCTGTCAAAGCAGCATTCTTATGTGAGAATTTCACTTATGGGAGAGTTCTTATAGGATTTCAAGAAGGAATGCCCTGAAGAGGGACACTGATTTCCTCAGCTGAACTTAAAATTGTTACATGCAGACATTTTTAAAGGTAGTATACTTTTTTCCTTAATCAAGTCAACTTTATCTCTTTTTTAAAGAAGGGAATGTAACATTTATGTTTTTCATATACACACACGCAGAAGCATACATGTCGATTACGTTTTGGAAAATAAAATCCAAAGAGCATTTGGATATCTGAATGTTTACGCTTCATCTCTGCAGTGACTTACAAATTTAGCTTTTTTCTGGATATACTCAGTCACCAACCTGAGTTCAAGTATTCTGATTTGAAGGTCTCCACTTAGAGAACTAGGCAGTCCCCCTTGTCAGTGCTAGGAGAAAGATGTCCTTCCCATACCTTCCAGAGTGTCTTGAATAAATACTCCTTCCTGGGTAACGTGCCTCGGAATGTACGTGATATTCATTTTTCTTTGACAGCTCTTTTTGATTCTGTTTAAGTGGCTTTGATGGGCTTACGATGCCGAGTGAAGAATTTGGTATTTAGCCCCAAAAAGATATTTAAAACACATAATTATGTAAATATTGCAGATGGAGGATGATACATAGCATTTCTTTTATTGAAATGAATTTGAAATAACTTCTTTCTAAAACAAAATTCTACCAATAGTCGTCAGTTTTTAACTATATAACTTCTCAGTATAGGAAATAATCAATGTCTGATTGGCTGTGTATGTTGGAGTATAATGCCTTTTGTTTTGAATTTGGGAGTTTCTACTGTCAGAAGAAAGGAGTTGTGAATTACAATGGTGTTAGAAGAAATGAATTGGAAGTTTGAATGAGAAAAATTTAAATAAAAGTTACGGTTTAAAGATATGGAAAGGAAAATAATGTTTTAGTTCAATATGAGAAAGAACCTCTTGTAGAAAATAAAATGGGGTGTCTTTCTACATCCATTCTTAAAAATTTGGCAGAAGTTATAAAGAAGTTAAAAGAAGGAGTTCCTGCTGATATAAGTCACAAGGATTATTTAAAGGAAATTTATGTTACATCTTGTAAAATCATGATATTGATAATTATAAATATGTAAAACTTTATGTGAAATAGGTATTACTAAAAATATTGAGCTACTATTTATAGTGAGATCATTATTTTTTAAGTAAATTTTTAGTAAATTTTAAGTAAATTTAACAGATAGAATAGCAAATCACATTTATTCATTCAATACATTCTTACCAACAACCTGCTATATGTCAGTCATTGCACTAGGCATGACATAGTCATAAATAAGACTGATGTGATTCCATAGGTCTTGCAGGGAACATAGACATTAAGCAAGTAATTACAATAAAGTGTAGTGGCTTATGATATTATAAAAACAAAGCAGTCCTTTCTTAAGGATATCTTGAAATTGATCTGTAGTATATTAATTTTAATCCGTTCATATTCCTCATGAAATGAGATTGTTCATTTTGATGTAAAAATTAGACTGACCTTCTTTACAGTTAGTAGAGACTGAAAAAGTCTTATTATTTGTATAGCTTATTTAAAATGAGAAACTGCTATGGAAAGATCTGCAAGTTTCTGAGATACCAAGAAATGTGAATATGAGCAGAACAAGCACATAATGCCTGTCATGCATATTATATACATTATAAATGTCATTTAAGACAATTATATGGAGCAGTTTTACATTTAAAACTACCAAGTTGGAGTAGTTAAGAAGTTGGGCTCCAGAGTCATACTGGTTGGGTGTGAGTGTTAACTCTGACACTTACCAGCTTTGCAATCTTACGAAAGCTGCATAACTCTACTGTGCTTCAGTTTCCTTACCTGTAAAATGGGGATAATAAGAGTATATATCTTGTGGAAAAAATATATTATTTGATATATAAAAATGCTAAAAGAGTATCTAGCATATGGAAAGTGCATAGAAAGGGCTCCAAATGTTGTTTTAGTTAATAATAACAATAATGATAATTTCTTCATCTTGAAAATATCCTACTTCATTCATAAAGTTGTGCCAACTGAAATAATTGCAGATGGTGCTTAAAATACATACAATATATATTTCAGAGTGGTATGTAAAGAGCTTTTATTATTACTGCTAAACAAAAAAAAAAGTCTGGGAAATTCTCATCTAAGCTTTGGGACCTCTGTAGCTGAATTTCAGCAGTCACTCAAAGGCTTTCTAGAGATGCCATCTAGAGATACTTTATAAGCTAGTGCCTTTTTTTTTTTTTTTTTTTGCAATACAGAAATTCTTGTTTTCATTTTAAGATGCTGAATGAGAGAAAATTATTTCAATACAAGTATGGTTTCCCATGACCACAATTAGTTATAATGTAACCAGTCAACAGTTGTCTATTGAAAACCACTAGCTATTAATATAGTGTCATGGTAGCCTAAAAGAATTATGCTATCATTCTACTTAGGCCCTAGGGAGACAAGAGCCATGTAAAGAATACTTAAAGCACAAAATCCGAGACCTAGTTCCTGCTGTGCCACTAATAAACAGTTATCTTAGATATACAAACCTGTAAAAATTATGAGGCCATCTTAGCATCTCAGTATCCTTATTATATATGTCGTGTGTATACACACATGGCCATCCAATATTCCTTTTCCAAATTCAAATGAAAGGAATTCATTAGGGTTGTTTTAATTTCCAAATTTACTGAGTAAAAGAATTCTGTTCTAAAAATTATTTTGTATAATGCCTTCAAATTGAGTTTTACATGTACTATTTCAAGGCGTCTCAGATAGTCCCACATAAATTATCTAGTGTTTCTGCATCATTCTATGATCTTTTCATTAATGTCAAGTGTAATGTTTTTTAACTTCACAAGGGAAACATGAAATTCCTTTAGTGTGCCTCATTTTCAGACATTTTCTTGTTGATTAAAATTCCTTTTTTAAAGTTTCAACATTTACTAAATTATTTTTTTACCTTTGAATTAACTTTTTATAAATGAATAATGACAGCAGTCATTACAAACTCTGCTGTTGGCAATACTAGAGGGCATTTCTAGTTCTTGAAATAGTGTCATGAGTTCTCAGAATAATTTACCAATTCATTAAATAGCAGACTAGCATTTTAAGGGAAAGGAACTAAAACAAGCACGATAGATATATTATACATATATATACTGTGTATATATTATGAATAGATAATATAAATATATATAATATATACATTATATGATGTATGGATAATACATATATATTGGATGTATGTATACACACGTCTGCTTTACCAGATGTTCTCACTGAATCACTACTCCTCAAAAGGCGGGGGAGTATTTGTGATCTGCTCATTGAAGCACCACTGTATTATCCAGTTGTGTATTAGTGTCGTGGGAGGTCTATGCTCTGATAGGTTTAGCATCAAGTGAACATTGAGTAAAAAATGTGTATGTATATACTCATACATGCATACATACACACTCATCAGAAGTTAGTTGCTGTGATTATTGAACTACTAGATGCTAACATAGTCATAATTAGAATAATTTTTCAGATAAAAAATGAGAGCTAAAATAGATGCCCTTTATAGGCTTAGTAGAAGATTTAAGAATACCTCTGTTTTGAATTACTGTATTTTAAATGTTAAAATATTTGCAAGGAGTTTGAATGCAAACATTTTTAGGAAAAGGATATGATTATATAATGTTAAATATATAATATTAAATATTAACATGCAATGATATGAAAGAAGACTGAAGTTTATAAGAAAATTCAATTAGCATAAAGAAAAACTTTTTTTTTCCTGGGAGGATTTGCTTACTGTGGTGTATTGGGGAAAAAAATCTTACATATCATTAAGTAATCATTAACTCGGTAAAAGTAAAGTCAAGGACCAACAAAAATAACCTAATTGTTGTGAAAATGAGGTGACAAATAGACAATCCCATCTTACTCTGTAACATACGTTGTATAAGAGGGGATACTTGATAACCACTAGAACAGTGGTGGATATGCAGGTGGTAGGTACATAAGGGGTATAAGAAAGTCTTTCTAGTTCAAATGTATTTCTACCATGTACTTTACCCAGTAGAAATGCATTTACATTTTCAAGAGGAGCGTATAAATCCAAATATCTCTGTTGATATATATACCTATCATTTACGTAAATACCTGAGTACCTACTAAGTATAAAATACCCCGTTATTTTATGTTTAGCACAGTGAGGCTGTAACAGTTTACACCCCTATTATGTAGCTGAGACCAGTTGGTCTCTTTTAGAGAAGGGAGTATCAGTTAGTTACAGAAGGACTCATTTGAATCATGAGATAATTTGTGAGAATGCATACCCAAGTAATATGCTCTAATAAAATCAGAAGGCAGCATGCTTTTGTTGAGAAATGGAGGTAGGAAGGTATCAACATAAAATAACCTTCTTTGTATTGGTTCAGTGTACCCCATAAACTGTCATCTCTTTTGTTTGTTTGTTTTGAGGGTACAAATTATTTCATTTTCTGATATTCTCTTTCCTAAAGTGTTGTTGGACTGAAACTTAACAAATTCTTCCCCCCCCATATATATGTATATACACACACACACATATATATATATACACACATATATATGTATTCTTTCTACACACACACAGCAATAGTATGTACAAGTCCAATTTAATTTTAAGATGAATCTTTTAAAGCATGGGTGAATCTGTACCAGTCACACACAGGGCAGTCTGTCATATCTTTTGCATCCTTGCTTTGTATTGGTTGTGAATGTTTGTTATGTAGTAGGGTAGGTAATTCCATTTTTACTTGTACTAGAATATATCTGGCTTAATAGATGATGTTCCAAAGGCTTGAATTAAAAAAAACAAAAAACTTTAGTGTAAAAAATTTCAGACATACACTTAAGAGAGACTAGTGTAATAAACCCCATGGCCTAGAGTTAACAATCAGCAAAATTTTGCCACACTTGCTTCATCTACTGTCTTCTTTTTCCTCGACTATTTTTAAAGTAGATCCCAGACTTCAAGTCTTTTCACTCCTACATTCTTTCATATGCATTTCTTTAAAAGAAGGAATTTTTCTTATATAACCACAATACCTTTATCACGTCCAACAGAATTAA